GTAGATGAATCAGCGTATCAGATTCTATATTCGTTCTTCATTTCCGAGTTTTTTTTTTTTGTAACTGTCTTCCATATATACTTAACAGGGTTCAAGTGGAGGTGGGGATGGTTTTGAAGTTACAAAGTATGGCCATGGACGTGTTGCACTTATAGGCTTTCCAAGGTTTATCTTTAAAATACTCTTACTCGCACGCATCCATGTATATGTGATTGTTCCGAGTTTTTAGAGTCCTCACTTCGGTAACCAAATTTGGGTTTGTGGCTGTGATTTTCAGTGTAGGAAAGTCTACGCTTTTGACGATGTTAACTGGCACACATTCTGAAGCAGCCTCATATGAATTCACAACACTTACATGTATCCCTGGAATAATTCGGTACAATGACACCAAAATTCAGTTGCTTGATCTTCCTGGGATTATTGAAGGTGCTTCAGAAGGAAAAGGAAGGGGGAGGCAGGTTGAGATCATATTGATAATTACCTATATTACTTCCTAATCCTTTGTCTCAATTCTCTTCTCGAACCAAAAATACTAGGGAATTCTATGAAATGAACTTAGCTTGAAACTGTTTGTTTTCTCAGGTTATTGCTGTCGCAAAGTCTTCAGACCTTGTGTTGATGGTTCTTGATGCCTCAAAAGTGAGAGTTTTGGTTTTGACTTTCCATTTAAAGTGTTTGTTTCTTAGTCTCTTTTTGTTTCTTTCAATATTGTTTTAGAGTGAAGGTCACAGACAAATACTGACTAAGGAACTTGAGGCGGTGGGTTTGCGTTTAAACAAAAGACCTCCACAGGTAAAGCTCATCTTTATGTTATGTCTCCCTCTTTTATTTTCTGAACTAAACTCTTAATCCTTTCGGTATTAATATCTTAACTCTTGAATCCCAAAAACCAATTTCTGTTATGCGGCAAAGGCTTGGCCTTTAGAAACGGCTACACTAGCTTGATGTGCTACCATTTTGTGGTGTTTTGGTTTCTCTGTTTTAACAGATATACTTTAAGAAGAAGAAGACTGGTGGAATTTCTTTCAACACTACAGCACCCTTAACTCACATTGATGAGAAGCTCTGTTATCAGATTCTGCATGAATACAAGATTCACAATGCTGAGGTACTTAATTCCAACTTCAATCTTGTTCTCGGTCCAGCCTTGGACAATGATCATCCCCGGCCTCTGTAGTCCGCATGTTAGGAGTAGAACAACTATGGTATTTTTGTTGTTGTTTTGTTGAGAGATATGTAATGAGTTTAGTTATGAATCTTTGCAGGTTCTATTTCGTGAGGATGATACGGTGGATGACTTTATTGATGTCATTGAAGGAAACCGTAAATATATCAAGTGTGTATACGTCTATAACAAAATAGATGTTGTTGGAATCGATGATGTGGATAGGCTTGCTAGGCAGCCAAATTCCATTGTTATTAGCTGCAACCTAAAGGCAAGTTCTATTACCTTGGCAAGAGTATCGGCTATTCATGTTTCTCTAGGCCTGCAACGATGGAAACAGCTAAAAATCCGATCAAGTGCAGTTCTAGCTTCTTCATAACGGTTTGATTCCTGTTAAGTCTGAAACTTGTGAAATTATTTACTCGAGCATACTAATCTAATGGTGAATCTCTGTGTTGCTTGAAACAGCTAAACTTAGACAGACTGCTTGCAAGAATGTGGGACGAAATGGGACTTGTGAGAGTTTACTCAAAGCCTCAAGGCCAGCAACCAGATTTCGATGAACCCTTTGTCCTTTCAGCTGTAAGTATAATACCCTCGACACTTGTCTTGCGGATCACAATGACATCTGTTGCAGTTAAGTTTGATTACTTGTGTCATTCCTTAGGATAGAGGTGGCTGCACTGTTGAAGACTTCTGTAACCATGTCCACAGGACTCTGGTGAAAGATATGAAGTATGCACTGGTTTGGGGCACAAGCGCTAAGCACTACCCTCAAAACTGCGGTCTTGTTCATCATCTTGAGGACGAAGATGTTGTTCAAATCGTCAAGAAAAAGGTACGAACGTACAAACTTTTTCTTCTGATCTATGTAGTGATTAGAATACTACATCAAATGTTGATGCTTGACGAGAATTTCAGAAGAGAGAGGAAGGAGGACGGGGGCGGTTCAAGACACACTCAAACGTGCCTGCCAGAATTGCAGACCGACAGAAGAAAGCCCCACTTAAACAATAAGACAGTTGATCATCCTGAATGATTTCAAGTAAGTGAGAGTTCATCATGTAATCAAACTCATATCAAGATTTCGAACCATTTGCTTCTTGAATCTCTGCACCATAACTAGAAGAATAAACGGAAAGCATTAGTATGTCAGTTTACCATTTCTTATGTAAACTATGTTATTAGCCTTTAAAAATGAGCGCATCATGTCTGAAGGGTGAAGTTTTTGGTCTTTGGTTTCATATTGACAAGAGAAAGAAACAGATTATTTCAGAAACATTTGATGTAAACGATAAATGATCCAACTTGCAAAACAACGACATTGCAGCCTTCAAACTAATTCCTTTAAAATCATATCTAAATGATGCACAGAAGTTGTTTTTGTATCTGTATTCCGTGTTTATGTTTCGTGGGGACCAACAAGCTGTTGAAATGACTTTGAAACCATGTTTGCTTAGCCTCTCTGGCTCTTTGCCCACATATGTCTCCCTTTCACTTGAGCCGGTGGGTATAGATCAGTCCACTGGTTGCGCAGTGGATCTGAACCAGCACTACGCCTTAAATTTACATCTCCGTCGTAAGACATCGACTGTTTCTTCTCAAACGGTGTCTTGGAACAAGATGAGGAAGACCCTGATCGTCTCTGCTTAGCTTTGATAGATTGTGTCAGGCTCATGTAGCTTGGCTTTCTGTAGTACCCTCCTTCCTCAAGGAAACTTCCTGAGAAGGGAACTGGGGATTGAGATGTCGACGAAGACTCAGAACTCGTAGCAGATGATGACACCGCGTGAGGAGGTCTTGCCAGAACTCTGGTTGTGAGACTGTTCTTCCTGACCTGAACCGCGTCATGTTCAGACAAACTGCTCTCACTCTTCCTTGCATTTTCTGATGAGTTTGTAGGACCTTGCGATGGCCTGTCTGCAACCCATCGGTCAAGCCAATTCCAACCTGGACTGCTGCTCTTACACGACCCGTTATTCTTCTTAACACTCCCTTGTTTGTTCGCCTTGGCACTTGGACTTGGACACGTCCTCGGCTGTTAAAAATTTGAAAAACACAATCAACACAAATGCCTCACAGATTAGATTCTCAAAAATGTGAGTCCTTGCTTTAAAATCCATTACCTGGTGTGTGAGTGCATATACCATAGCTCTCTCCCTCTTAATTGCTCCTTCTTGCCTCATTTGTAACTTCGTTCTCACTTCATTTACACTTCCCGGACTATCACACCAACCCTTCTAAACAAACATCATTGCAAAAAGTATCTGAATTTAGTCTCCTTATGAGTTCCATTTTATCTCAGAGTGCATATCGGATAATCATTACCTCAGCTTGCTTTGCAGGATCATCTTTTTGTTCAGATGGTTTCTGTAACTCCTGTCCATCTGCAGGCACCCTGTTATTACAATGAGCTCGTACTCGAGCTTGGACTCGAACAAGAGCTTGCATACACCTTAGTGTCACATCTGCTTGTTTCCGGACTTGCCTACCGCGGAATATCGCCTGAATCCTCACCACCGCCTTCAAAGCTCTCAACGCCTGTCTTGCCTATAGAAACACAAAAGGTTGTAGTGGATCCAACAAGTGTTGATGGTTTGATTAAAGTTTCCAACTTTGTAAAATCAAACAACCACTAAGACATAACTAATTGTAATTAGATGTTGCAAAATCTGCCCTTATGTTCCACATACAATCAGTTCTCTGAATCATAATGTGAAAAAACCAATTAACAGATCACTAAACCAAAGGAGATTAGCAATGTTTTAAGAAAAATAGAACATTGGAGCTTAGAGTAACGAACCAGGAAAGCTCGAAAAGCGGCTTGGATTCGTGTTGCGGCCCATTCTCGTTTAACGACAAAGAAATCTTTCGGTGGAGCTCTGATAACAGCAGCAACAGCAGCAGTGAAAGAGTCGTCGGCGGAGAAAGACGGCGGATCTGAGCCTAGTGAAGGAGTCCCATAACTACCACCACGGCTCTTGAAACCCTTTGAGGAAGATATTAAGCTTTCCGATGAAGTTCTCCATAGTTTCCATTTCTTCTTACCACTTAACTTCTCCTGCAACGAAAAGAAACAGTTTTAGAAAAGAAAACAGAGATCGAATCAACAAGTG